TCCCCCCCTCCACCTCTGTGTTCACACCTCCAGCAACAAATGCTTTCACCTTCACCAACAAGGCTTCTTGCATTCTCATCACAGCTGCACACGTTGCCACCTAATGAAGCACACACACATGTGATTGGCCTTTAGCAGCCAGCAAGCGCACAAAGTTGTAGATTTTAAGCGGCGTGTTGCTTTCAGTGTGAGCACAGTCTTTTCCAGTGTCTCCTCCACCACCACCTCTTCCTCCTGAGTGGCAAAACACCAGTTTGCCTTGTGTTGCACCTCTGCTGCAGCTGCTTTCAGTCCACACGGCGTCCGAATGAATGAGAACTAGAAGCACATCAGCAAACCTCCCCTCCCAGCTCTGTTTACTCTTTTATTTGTCAACCAAAGGAGAGTTTAGTGGACCTTTGTGTACACGTGAGGAAAGATCTGTTTTACATGTGTGAATGCTGAGTGCTGTGTGTGTGTTGTAGAATACTGTACCTCACTGGGAAAGTGGATTTCAGTGCCTCTGCATATTTCTGTGGGGGGGGGGGGCAATAATTTGATGTGAAGATGGACTCTTTTTCTTGTGTCACAACGTTTCACACAACATACATGTGTTTACTTCAGAGGGGTGCACTACAGAGCGGGTTCAGCATTGCCAGACTTTGAGTTAGCTGATTCGACAGTAATTAAAACCCCCAGTATCCCAGAGATGACGGTAATAATGGTGGTTATAAGTTTTCTCTGTCAACACAGATTTTCTGCACGCTTCCATAAAACCAGGTGTTTGATGTGGCTTTTTACTCTTCTTCCTCACAAATCTGATCGAGTGCCATATATCTCACTCTGAGATATTATAAAGAGGGGATAAATAGTGTGTGTGTATAAGTAATATAAATAAAACAGCAGAAGGCAACACTGCTGTGGATTAATAAATTAGAACTCAGCATGCTCGATGTGCTGCTGTTTATTTGGACAGCTGGATATCAGAGCTATGAAACTAACTGTGTCATGCACAGTTTGCAGAGCTGTAGCTTTACGGCGGGACTTGATGGTATGCTCTGCAAACAGAAATGTGCCACTTGCAACAGATTTTAAACCAAAACTCTGAATATAATTTGCTCCGGATCAGATTATATGATCATCACCTGTTAACTGAAGACTGATCTTCGTTTTGCAGTGCACCCCTCTGATAAGTTAGGTGTTAGTTTAAGTCTTGTTTATTTTCTGCTCCACTCCTGAGTCTTGACCGCGGTGCTCTGAAACTCTGCACAGATCCATCATCACTGCTGCGAGCACACAGGATGTCAGAAAAGATGCTGAACACGTTTTTTGGTTTGTTTTTTTTAAATAAATGCTATTTACAACACCTTCAAGAATCACAGTCGCTTTCTTATTTAAGCTGTTTTCTTCATGTCTCAGAATTAATGAGGTCTTGGAAACATTCCTCATATTTTGGAGGTGGGCAACTCCAGGCCTCGAGGGCCGGTGTCCCTGCAGGTTTTAGATGTGTCCTTGAACCAACACAGCTGATTTAAATGGCTAAATTAGCTCCTCAACATGTCCTGAAGTTCTCCAGAGGCCTGGTAACGAACTAATCATGTGATTCAGGTGTGTTGACCTAAGGTGAGATCTAAAACCTGCAGGACACCGGCCCTCGAGGCCTGGAATTGCCCACCCCTGTCATAAAGGGATAGACATGGTCAGCAGCAATACTTGAGACCACTGGAACCTCTAAACCTGAAAGATGGTTGTTTGGGGAAATCCCAGCAGATCCGCTGTTTCTGAAATACTCAAATTAGCCCATCTGGCAGCAACAACATTAAAAGTCACCTTTCTTTTTATTCTGATGCTTGGTTTGAGCTTCAGCAGGTCACCTTGAATGCATCGAGTTGCTGCCATGTGATTGGCTGATTATAGATTTACTTAGATCAGGTATATATTAACAATTAGCTGAAAAGGTGTACCTAATAAAGTGGCTATAAGTATATACATGGCAGAAAATGAGTCCTCTCGAACCCTAAGGTGCTTATGGTGATTAAAATCTCCACCTCAGATGTTTCCAACACTGGCTGTTTACATGTTAATCACTCATTAATAAGTCAAACATTGTGTCATTTGAATGCAAGCCGTCCTGCTGAAGCCTTCTGCTGTTATAACAGCTTCACGTCCAGGTCTTGGCGCCGCACACTGATCCAGGCTGCGTGATTAGTGATGTTTGAAGCCTGCAGATGTGATCGGCGTGCAGTGACTCAGCTTTAGAAGACATCCCTGCAGATGCAGCAGCACTGAAAGTTTTGAAATATTAAAATTCAGATGCCTTCTCATAACACGCACAGTCTCAAGAAGAAACTTTACTTTCAATTTTTAAAGCGGCATCTGAGGTTTTGTGAAGCTTTGGCAGAGGATGAAAGAAATGCTCAGTAGCAGGAAAACGACCCAACCTCGGCTGGACAGATCAAATATAGATACGCTGCTTCCACTGTAACCATGATTATTTAATGTGCGTCCAGAGTGTCTGCTCATGCTTTGAGCAACTTTACAGGGCCGCGGGAAGCAAACCACCACGAACCTCTCGGGTTAACCTACAAGCTCTTTGTCCTGCTGAAGTGTGCTTTAACCGCTCAGCTCTATTCAGCTGCATGTGGCGGTGGAGAAGCAGCAGCAGCAGCGTTTCTCTGTTGCAGATTCTGCCCGAGCTGGATGGCAACACCATATAAAAATACCAGCGGGCTTCACCGATTGGCTGAGAGTTGTGAAAGAAGACAGCAGGCGACTGTAAACACGGGCGAATCTCGATGACAGAAACAAATAATTTTATTTGAAAAATATTTCACTGCTGATACATACAATACACTCATCATACTCATATATATTTGCATAAAGTATACTCTTAACATGATAATATTTAAAGATTTGATACATTATCGTCAGGTGGGGCAGGGAGATATCAACAAGGAGAACACTTTATTGTAGTGTGTAGAGTAGAAACACTTAAAACAGAAATAAACCCACTAGAACAGATACAGAGGGGACCTTGCCAGCTGCTGCCTGATTGGAGGAGGACGGCGGAGGCGGAGTCTGAGCCCGGCTTAAATTTAAGCGGCTGAGGTCCAAACAGCAGCTGGTGCTGCAGCTGCCACTCTCGCAGCATTCAGCCTCCTCAAATAAGGATTTCTTTTAAAAGCTGCTGCCACAGTTGGTCGATGTTAACATTGTCTGCCCACGTGGAAATAAAACAGGTGACTTGTATTAGCCCAGCTTGTGTCTCACATGTATTTTCTTTGAAAGTTAAAAACAGAAAACCCATCATGAAAAAGTATTTTTCTCAAGTGTTAGCCCCGCCCACATCAAAAGTGTTCTAAGTTTGACAGGAAGCCTCGTGTTTGTATAAGAACGTGCTGGTCACTGTGAGAAGCTGAGAAGTTATACATCAGCCCTTTAAAGACCTTTTTCATGTCATACACAAGAACACAGTTTACTTTTGTTTATGCTTTGCAAATAGAGCGATGAAGAAAACTTCTTTTGTTTCTGTGTTTTTTATTAAATACATCTCTGGGATTTCGTCTTTCAGACTCAAATCCAGGCTTTATCTCTGCGCCTCCAAACCGGAGCCTTCATAATGTATTTATAATGCAGCGCCATTAAAAAAATATTTCCAAACATCTAATTAATTTTTTTTGTTTTGTTTCCAAAATAGATTTCAGAAAGTTAAAAGGCAAATCTGATTGTGTCTTTGCTTCTTTTGGTTTTTGTCATGTCTGCCTCTAATTTATCGGACAACACAAAGGCCCGGGGCTGTGACAGCAGAGAGGTGAAGAGGTCAAATTAGGGATCATCTTCATCATCGAGGGAAAAAAAAAGTCTATTAAAAATCTCTCGTGACCCCCAGAAACTGTTGCAGGAAGTGATTAGAGATGTTGGTGAGCTCCATCTTCGTTACAAAGTCCTCTTTGTTCACCAGCAGTTAGTAAGGTAGTTTGAATTAACAGTTGGGTGAAACGGGCAAAAAAAAAGACCAAATTTAAGAGTAACTGCAGTCTGGCAAGTCTGCAAATAAATCAGCTGAGAGGTTTTTTGGGGGGTTTTTCAGCTTCTTTTAGCCCCACCCAGGCTGGTTAAAAAAGGGGGTGGATCCTTCTGTGGGTGGTGTAAAGTAAAGCCCAAAGAGCCCATCCAGTCCCCTCTGCTGAGAACACAGTTCAACACAAGACTGAAAGGCTGAAGGATCAGTGAGGGGGTGAGCAGGTGGAAACCCTGTAACCCAAGCTTATTGGTTTTTATGTTAGCAGGCTGACGCCGCGTCGCCTCCCGCATTGTCAATAAAATGGCAGTGAAGAACATTTCCTCATGGAGGAGCACTTGAACAGTCCTGGTTTGCTGTCGAGCACACCGAGTGTGCCCGCCCATACAGCTGCTGCTCCCACCGGACTCAATTAACCACCTTTTCCCCCCATTAAAGCCTCGTTCTTTGTTCTGACAGCTGTCAGAGCTTCACTCCAGCTGTTCGCTCCTCTCCTGCAGAGCGCTCGCTGCAAACGCTCAGAAGCCCACCAGAGATAAACGAGCAGGAGGCCGTCCACGAGGAGGAACAGATCTTCGCTGATGGTCTTTTTTTTTTATTATTCCTTTGACCTACAATGCTGGAGTCTTTCAATCTATGCACCAAGACTGTCTTATATTCAGAGCTGGTTTGTGGGTCTCCCTGTGGGACTGTGCTGCTCGATTAGGTTCAGTGCAGTTTCACCCGTGTTTATAGGCCTTGTTTTTGAAATAATGAATGATGGGAGTAGATTTACACTTTTTAGCCTTTTTGGTCCAATAGAAATCAAAACGTTTATGACAGATTGGAGATTTTCAGTTGGCTAAGCTGATTAAGGACTGAGCTTGACTCTCATGCAGCACGTCGAGCTGCAGACGCTGCCGACATTCTCTCAAGGTTTGGGTCTTGGATCGGTTGGGTTTTTCCCTCCTCTTTCTTCTTCGGGGAGAAACTTAACGCAAATAAAAGATTTGGCACTTTCTTTTTTTTTCTTTTTTTTTAAATAGATGGCTTCAGTAGTTTGGACTTAAGATCACTACTGAGCACCAGTCATTTAAAAAGCTTCAGTGGTGAAAGGAAAAAGCTTAACGTGGGTTAATAAAGCATCACTTGCCAATAATGCAAAGATTTAAAACTGCAAGTGTAGCAGGCGAGCTGGGAACTCGGTAAAGATGACGCTGAAAAAATAAGATTCTGGAGTCTGCTCGAGTCTGAGTGATGCAAATTTGTCACAAATTACGAACCAAACGGACCTTCGAGGCTTTGCAATCAGTGAGTGTGAGGATCTGTGTGGATGTCTGCTCGCCTGCCTGTTCTCTGTGACCACATGGACCACATGTGACCACATCCGTGGAGAATCTACACTACACTGCGTCCACGCCCGTCTACCTGCAGAGAGCATTTGGATTGGTATGAGGAAGAACCGCTCTGTGGGCTGAAGAGAAAGATTAAGTTCTAAAATAAGAACCAGAGTATTAAAACCACTGCAGCCACTGTCCGCTTTTACTCTGCATTTTTTATGTTCATACGCAAGCAGACAGCAGCAGTACCATCGACTACGTCGTGTTATTACTGCAGCCGTGTGGCGTTTGGTCCTTGGTAGGCGTGTGTGAGTTTAGACCCGTGGCTGTGTTTAGTCCCTCTTAAATCTATCCACGATCCCGAGGCTGTTCTAATCGCCTGCTTTATTTCACCAGCGCCTTTTAAATAGACGGGAACACGTGACGCAGGGAACCCCGACCTAACGGAGCTCCTGCACACCCGTCTCGCTTACTGCTGGGATTTTTATTATATTTGCAATGTTTCAACTTATTCCTCCTTCTTCCGTATGGGAAGCATGTCTGCATTCACTAGAAAATAACAGTAAAAAGATCAGTTTGATTTATAAGCAAGGCCACATGGGCCAACCTGTTAAACCTTACTGGTCTGTTTCTCAACACACACACAGGCACATGCACAGGGATCCTCAACCCAACAACCCCCCCTCAATTCCAGCGCTTTCGCCTTTTTTTTTCTAGCTTCCTAATGCCTCTCTCAGAAGCACTGCAGGCTGTTTGAGTGAACACAGAAGGAAACTGAGAAGTTCGGTATTTCTGAGGAAACAGACGAGGATGAGCAGCTTGGAGTAAAAGTTTGCGTAAACTCTGGAAACAGCAGCTGGGCGGTGCCTTCCAAAACAATTCAGTCTTTACAAAAAAGAAGGAAGAATTTAAATACATGAGATACACCTGGTAGTGGAATTTTGAGAATAAAGGTCCTCTGAGTATCTTCTGTTGTGTGTTCACGTCCTCGTGCTTGTACAGTATCCTACAGGGAAACCTCAGAGACAGGGGGCTCACCACCCAACAACACCATTAAACTTCTGCCACCGTCTCGAGTGTCTTGGGGAGGGGAGGGGGGCCTTCTGTTAATTTGCGTTGATGGGGTAGAGAGTGAAGGAGCATCGACATGTCAGCACCGCCGTTGTTAGAGAAATGGTTTCTCACCGTGGCAACGTTAGAAAACCAGCACTGGAAAAATTAGCATCTTAACAGCATCTCAGCTCCACCTGCAGGGAATGACGAACCAAAAACTTGGGGGTGAAACCTAACGGCCATCCAGTCTGATGGACACCTAAAGAGAGAGGATCTCCTCTGTATCTACAGAGCGGTTTTTTTTCTTCCTTTTTTTTGTTAAGATGGACATTTTTGCGGTGCCGTCATGCACACAGGTTGGAAAACGTGGCAACCAGACGTCGACCCCACGTCAGCAGCTCCGGCTCGTCCCTCCCAGCTTCCTCACAACGGCCAGGGTAGGTCGCTGAAGTCGACGGGCCCCCCGAGGCCAGCGTCCGCCTCCAGCAAGGACATAATGACAGCCATGGCCGCCTCGTCGTTGCTGGGGCTGCTGGAACCGGGCTCATCCATGATGTCTATGCTCAGGTGGGAGTTGTCACCTTTACAGAGAGCAACTTGTTAAGAAGATGACTGATGAAGAGGTCATAATCATAAAATGACAGATTTACTCAGTGACTTACTCATGATGGACTGGTTGGAGTAGGGGTAGCCAACAGAGTCGGGTCCAGGAAGCATCCCCGTGCTTTGCAGCTCGGGCGTCCCTCCGTTCTGAATCTGCAGAGACGACACGAGTAAACATCAGTTCAATGTAAAAACATTGAACTTGTTCAGTGAGAGCGAACACTGAGGTTCGCGGAAGCATGAACTTGTATACACGTTAAACTGTTAAGCAGCATTTTTATCATTATTAAAACAGGATAAAATAATTTTGTACATTTTGATCTTCTGGGTTTGCTTTAGGGGCATTTTTTTCAGGTTTTAGACAGACCCATGAAGTTCCTGCACTATAAATACTAAGACGAGTTTGGTGTTTCAACAATGCAATTATGGCTAAAGTAGAGACGAGGACAGTTATTCTGTTAGGGTAGTGGAGCTAGAGCAGTGGTGTCAAACATGAAGCCTGGGGCCCAGAGTTGGCCTCTGAAAGACTCCAGCCCACTGGATGGCTCTGAAAAATGTGAAGGAGTGCATAGATTTGAAGTTTTAACAGTTTTTACAACTTCTCCTAATGATAAAGAACCCCGATTAATTGCCATTCATACGGCAAAGTAATTAGGTAATAGATAAACACTTAAATGACAAAGTTCCTGGTTTTTCCGTATTTACTATATAAAATTATGATTTTTACATTAAGTACACAGGACATTTTCTTTGAATTAACAAAAATGTAATATTTTACAATTTCAGGACAGTCTGGGCAAAGAACTACCAGAACCTTTTCTGTAATTATACACATTTATCGTGTAGTCTAAGGAGCTTCTTGAAGATGATTCACCTCTCATCTGAGAAGTGAATCATCTTCAAGAAGCTCAGACTACGATGACCTGAATGACTAAGAACCATCACAGACATTCATCGTGTAGTTTCACTGATTCAGCTCACTCAGAGTCAGAGTCTGGATTTGGCCCACATTGTAAAAGAAGTCTGACATCCCTGCCCTGGAGGGTCAAACTGTTTAATTTTATCCTAAAATAAATAAATGTGCATGACAACAGAGAGATGACAATACCGAGCAAGTGATTTACAGAATTATTTTATTAGTAGCGACTTTTAAAGACACCATCTCAAAATAAAGGACATCTAAAGACTTTATTTTTCACGTTTTATTTACAGATATATGAAGATTTTTTTTAAATGTCCTGCAGGAACCCCGAGCACGTGGCCCTCACCACAGTGCACGTTCACAGAGAAGCACACAAATTAAACTGCTTTCAGGTCAATTAGGTGTGTGTGTGTGTTACCTTCTTGCCCCCTGGGGAGCAGGTGTCGGGTGGAGGTGTGCTGGTAATATTCAGAGGGCTGGAGCCACAGCTGGAGGGGGAGGAGCCTCGAATCCTGATAGGGAGAAACAGATAACAGCAGTGTTTCTGAATCAGATCTAGGCTGTCTCCAATCGTCTATTCCTGTATTCACACTCGCCATTTTGAATGAACTGAAAAGTACAAGTACATGAAACACAACAAGTACACCATCCAGGTACTTGTAGAGTCGATATCAAGTACCAACACGATGCTAGTGCTACAATAAGCCTATTTATTTTGTGACTATGTTAATTGCTCTCAAACACTTAAAGAAAGGTTTTTCCATTGCATGTATGCTGATCCTTTGTGGTTTCTTCTCCTAGCAACCAGTGCAGCGCTGAGGTATCACACACTAAATACAAGGGAACTGAACAGATTATACCTGAAACAGCTTTGTGAGTCCAGATCAAACATACTTCAGATTTAAATATCAGGTCGGTAAATCCCTCGTCATGGTTGGAGAGACTCTACGAGGTTTGCAGCTGGCAACAATAATTTGTTTTCCTGCCTCAGAACCTGCACCAGGTGGAGAATGTCTTCATGCTGCTCTCTTATGTGACACGCCAGAGCAGAACAAGGACGACTAATCCTCTGTGTATTTGCTAAAGAGCCAGCCAATTATTGCCTTGTTACTTTTTTTGTCCTAAAGGATAAAAGAAAATGTGCACGTTCACACGTACTGCACGAGTAATTACACACACGCGTGTATGTATTGTATGTATCGCTGCATCAGGCATGAATTCATGTGGTCTGCAAATTTGACCAGTCTCAGAAGGTCAAACAGCATCTTTCCCTAAAATGCCAAAAATCTTCCAGCACATGAAAACTCCAAATAAAAGAAAGTCCCTCTCCTATCAGCCTCACTGAACACAATCATTTTTCAGAACTGCCATAACAATCGGGCGATCATTTATCAGCAGAGACAGTCTGTGGTATTTTGGCTGGGTTTCATCATCAGCCTTGAAGTTTCACAAAGCGAGGAGAAGAGCCTGCAGCGCGAACACACTGTCCTACTTTAGACAGCACAGAACATGTGCCTATTCTCCATTTTATTGTAACCTGACATTTGAAATGATTCAGTGCAGAAAAATGAGGTAAAATCCTGCATATGGTTTGTCATATACTCACCTGCCAGTGTGTACAGCTGGCTTGTAATACCTGATAATTCATTCTCTGTGTCACCTCTATCAGCATGATCCGAGTAAGAAACTAGGCCACGGTGATTTTCCATTAGAGCACTAACGCTGGTTTTCTGCTCGACTGGTTTGAGATTGTAAAAACCACAGAAATCCTCCTATTCTCACCTCTGGATCTCCATCACTTCCTCAGCAATCATGCGTCCAATCTTCCCAGCTCCCGCTCTTGTGCCGCCGGGGATACCAGGCACCGTCTGCAGCGCCCGCCTCCCCCCACCTACCAATCAGCAGCAATCAAGAGAAGAAGAATGTATGCACTGTGAAGAATAACTGTGGACATGGGCTGATGTTTTTGATAAATAAGCAGGGAGTGAAAGAATGAAGGAAGTCATTTACCCTCTGAGGTCAGGACGCTGTCCATACTCTGTGGAGAGGCAGCAGACTGAGGGTAATCTGATCCCTCCATCATAGGACACCTGAAGAAGGGGGGGAAAGCGCACAGGTGATGTACCCGAGTCTTCAAAGAGCCAAAATATTTTTGTTTATAGCTTAAAAACTTCCAGGTAAAGCAAATAAAATGCGTTTTCAGATACTTACGACACCACAGTGTTGGTAGACACGATGTACTCCACCTCCTTGGTCCAGGGATTCATAAAGCTGAACCATCTGCTTCTTAACGTGATGAAGGAGCCATCTTTGATCTTGAACTTGTAACAGTTGGTGTTGATCTTCTCCCTCATCTGTAGCACTGTGGACATTTGCGATACATTCGCAGTGAGCACACTAGCATTCATTCATTCACATCTTCTCTATTAAACTCTAACAAGGATTCTAGAGGTTTCTCAGAAGGCACCTTGTCTATGACATTCTGCCAGGTGGCTGATGTCGTCCTGGTGGAAATACTCATAGAAGGAAGTTCCCAGCAGCTCCTGGGGTAGGTAGGCTAGGATTGCTGTGGCTCTGGAAGAACACACAGACACAAAGAGGATTGTTCGCTTGCAGCTGCTGGTGAGAGTCTTAATTATGGGCAACAAAGGTTTTCTAAGATAGTGAATCACCCAAAAACAGATCACTGTGTCCTGAAACCTCACTGCACTTAATGCACTGAGCAAGAATAAAACTCATTTAACTGAAAAGCTTTTCATCTGTACTAAAGGCCAGTTGTAACACAGCACCAAGGTAAAACAGTGTGTACTGAAACATAATGTGTTCATCTAAACAGCTAAAATTAAAAACTCAAAAATCACCGCATCCTAAACAGGGGTGTATTTGACTCCATCGTGTTTGTTGCTAACAAAGGCTGTGCTAAATGACACAGCGCTGCAGGTAAAAGCAGACTATTTGTGGCTCTACTCTGACATTTTATGCACTACAAGTTATTTCGATTTCTCTGAATCCATATTTCCTCACAGCTCTCACCCCTCCACCCTTCAGGAGGCAATTTCATATCAAACTCTCATATCAAAATTACAGTCTGTTCAATTTTTGGCCATTTTATCCTTTTATTATCCAATCTTTTGCTCTCTAAATATATCAACAAGCAGGCCGACTCTGAGGATAAGCTGAGGGAAATGCGACCTTGAAAATCATGTGAGTATGCAAGCAGCTGAACTTTACTGTCCTGTCACATAAATCAAGACGAGGTGACCTATTCGGCTCTCCCCTTTCGCCTCTCACCTCTGGTCAACGAAGACGAACTTGCCGTCGATGGCGTGCCGGGAGACGTACTCTGTCGGCTTCACCCTGATGTCTGCCAGGCTGGGCTGGGGGACGATGTGGGGGTGCAGGCGGCCGATGGCCACCAGGCAGCTCAGGTTGCAGCCCTCGTTGTCGGGTTCATTGTCTTCGTCGAGACCCATCTTGGTAGGTGGCCAGCTCTTCAAGTAGCCTGTGCTGTGGATAGTGCAGAAGCTCTTACGGTCCGCTGTAATGAGAGTGAAGAGACGCGAGAGAGGGGCGTTAAAATTAGAAATAAGCAGGGCCATCTTAGTGGGATACCGTCACCATGCTGTGGGGTATGATGGAGCATTTTTTACAGTTCACTGAACTGAATGTGACGGGGATTTATTTTTGATTATGAACCCACATCTGAACAGTTTGGCTGATTGATTCAAAATCTCTTACAAAACGCTGAGGAAGCCACAGCAGTGATGCAGTTACAGCTAATTATCAAATACAAATCAAAACACTAGGCTGAACCCTTGAAGACAAATCATACGGTCGTCCCTGCAGGATTAAAGGATCACAGTTAATCAGCTAGTGCTGTGTGGACTTTGGCCTGTACCCTCTTTAAACTATTTTTGACAAATGAGCCCATCTGTGATTTTCAGGGCTGTTTATTTCTTGCTCTTTGCCATAAAACTACAAGATTAGAAACTACAAGAACCTCCTGCCTGGCAACTTCATCTTCAACAGCCTTTGTCCTGGTGTTCTATATCTGCCATCCCTCCTCTGCAAACGCCCAAACCATCTGGAACACCTTTCCACTCTCTATGAAGACGGGAGTACTTCTCCCATCTCCTCAACACATTTTACACAAGTAAAATACCTTCTTGGCGGTTTCACTTCTGTAGCTGTACTGAACTTTGCAGCCCCCCCCCCATGTAACACAGAGAAGTGTGTCTCCATGAACGTTAACTGCAAACATTTTTTAACATGAACTGTGACAATCAGCTGCATGTATGTGCCTGCAAATGTTCCTCTGATTATAAAAGACGTTTTACACTCCAGTTCCTCAATAAGCTACTAAGTAGCTCCAAACGCAGCCAGCCATGTTTTCATTTGCTCTTAGACCAGTGGAGCAGATGCTGCAATGTATTCCAGGAAAATCTTCTTATATTGACTGATCGAAGAGCAAATGTCCCGTGCGTCACTTTCCGACGAGGAAAATTGAGCGACCCAGGCTCCGGTCGTGTCTTGTTCTAAACCTTTGATTTTTAATCTTAAAAACTCGAGTCCAGGCGTGATGTTACACTGCACTCCAATGTGTTCCAGCTAATTCACCATGGCTGAAACCACCGTCTGCCAAGCTGACTCAGACTGCTTTCAGCCCTGACCTGCTTGGCACACAGCTAATGAAGTATGATATAGAGGTTGCCAGAACAGCCCAGGTGCAATTTCCAAATAAGATTCACACAAATCAGAATTTGGTCAGTTAAATGTGATTCAGCAGGTCCCATGTGTTGTTGTCGTTCATATTTTTTTACTTGATTAATGGGCCATCACGTGTTTCTGTTCAAATTAAACTACCTCAGTGCTTTTTAATTGCAACATAACATTTTCTAGTAGTTTGTGATGTTGTTAAATGATAGTCTGGTTCTTGCTCAGAGTTCAAATTCATTTTTGGCTTTAGCTGTTTTTGTGTTAACTTTTACTGTTTGGACCAACTCTGCAGAAATGAGCGGAGGCAGAGCGCGACACCAGCAGAACCAAACTGTTTTCTGTATGATTTAATCAGCCTTACACACTGTTGCGGATCAATTTTGGCCCGCCCACTCTACCTTACAGTGTTACTTCATTGAGATTTTTAGGCATTTGCTCAGCACAGCTGAATCTTAAGGTCCAACCACATCATTACATTCAGGGTGAGGTCTGGACTTTTACTGGCCCATTGCAACTGTTCATCAACAACAAAGCAAACTGTTAAGGTAGTTAGGCCAAAGTTCACTTTAATGAGAACGTTGTCATCTTGCGAGAATAAAAATCCATCTTCACATTTTCACTCTGTGGATCTCTTCACAATAAAAGTCCAACTGAAGTAATCGTAAGAGTGAAGAAACAGCTTGATACTTTTCTTTCCAGCCACCCAGCTGTAGATTTGCTGCTGTGCAGGAGATCGCTGTCGTGTCACACGACCCAACTTCGTCATTTCCAAGCTTTATTAAGGGGCAGACGGCCTCAGATATGACTCTAGAATACCCATGTAAACAGCTGAGTTCATGATCAACTCAATGACTTAAACACAAGCCCAAACCATCACCCCTCCTTTGTTGTCCATTGAAGCCAAGCTTCATATTGGATCAGAAGCCGTGTGGAAACTTCGTGCTAACAACAATCCCAAACAAGCCACACTTGTTCTGTTCAGTCTTTTTCTAAATATAATGTTATGAACTTTAACAGTTAACATGTTAACTGAGGCCTGTAGAGCCAGAGATGTAGCTCCTGGGTTATTTGTAGTGCCTTCGAGCATTGCACAGTGTGACCTTGGGGTGAATTCTGGAAAGATTATAGCGTTATGTTATCACCCTCCTGAATGCTCCATAGAAGCAAACTGCACAACTTCTGCTTTTACAGAGGTAGTCATTCTTGCTCATCAGTTTGTCAAGTGCATTTGATTATCAGCACCTGGCTTCTTCTTCCCCTTTAAATTATAGAAGCAGTTAATAAAGATTATAAAGATTCCGGCAAAAATCTTCTTCATCTGACTTTACCGAGCAACCGCCTATCAGGAAAAAAAGGTTTCAGCTCCTCTCATCTACAAGTGCAGCGCATGTTGTTTGCAGATAAGCGCTCGCAGTCTCACTCAACTGAAAGCATCTTTGATTGATGCTTCATAGCTCTGACTTTCAGAGGCAGCCCTATTTTCAAAGATTATCACTGGTGAGATTCTTTTATGGCGTGTAAGCTTTGCTGATTAATTAAAAGGTTTTCAAATGAATAAATAAACTCTGTCCTCTCATCGGGTAATAGGACGCATTCATACACAGAAAACACATCATTCAAATAACTACTTAAACACAAAAGAAATACCTGAAACATGAATAAACAATCACTGCTCCATCATTACTGTTATAGGTTCTCCACCTGAGCCCTCATGCATTACCGAAATAGGATGCATCTATTTTAGCCAGTTCTAGTATAAAAGACAAGAAAAAAGCTGATAACTGTCAAATGTATCGTTTTCATTATAATATGAAAAATTTGAATAGTTAAACTAACAAAAGCCGACCAAAAATTTAACCTTTTCAAGCACTAAAATCTAAGCAGACAGGTCTTTCTCTAGAATTTGTTTTTGACAATATAGAGCGGGTAAATAAAGGTTAAATAAACACCATGCTCTCATGCCAACTGAGGTGCAATTCCTTGTTATGAAAAGGATGTGAACCTAAAAATAGAAGAACAGGAACACCAGGAAATGAGGGCTTTTGGTTTCATAAGGAGGTGATGGAGATATTTACAAAGCACTGTGTGAGATGTAAATAGGGAGGAGAGAGAAGCCGCTCCAAAGGTCTCTTAAGACACGGGATGCAAAACACTGCTGGCTTCATCGAGCTGATATAGTGGAAGCTCTCAGCAATTCAGACGTGGCTTATTTTTATGTTAATGCTCCTCACCCGTTCTGTCAGACGATGTGGGAGAAACGAGCCACAGCAGCAATACCTTTTACCCTTTAGGCCTGACAGTGATGTAAAATGCTTGAAATTAGAGTTTGTTTAATACGACGATACTTTGGTAATTACAGATGCTACATCCTACATGTAGTCATGATGGTGCATCTACACCCTTAGATAATTGTTAAGGGAAAAACACACCATGTCATTTATTGTTAGATCCTGACCAGTCCTATCTCTGTGTCAAGGGTAATTAAGTTCTTGCTGTAGTGCTGCGTGCATAAATGAGTGCATCCTTCTTTATTTAGAGATGCTTGCACACGGACCCTGCAGGTATGTCATTAACTTAGAATAAAGAGTTTTAGAAGCAACTGGGAACAACAAACTAACTTCAGCTGTTACTTTTTGTCAGATCTAGACACCAATCTCCAAAAGAGTAAGTGGTAACTTGACTGCACGTGCTTCATAAGATTGCTGTCACAGCTTTTCACAAGGCTGTGATCAGTCCACCCATACAGAAACAGCACTGACAAGCAGAGACATCAGATTTACAGAAATGAGTGGATGTCAGAAAGGGACCAGAGAGCTGATAAGCACACAGCTTTTTCAGGTGGTGCTCTGACAGAGAGGAAGGTTGTCAGGTTTTAATGAAGACGATGGCACGCTACCTTTTTTCTTAGAGCAGGTGGAGGGAAAGTCTTTATCTTCTACTTTGACAGACTGCCTGTTGCACTTCATCCTGCAGAAAAATGACCGCCTAGCTCCAGAACAGAGTCTAGAAGGACCGGGGGTGATGTCCGTCTTCACAGGAAGACCAGCTGCAAAAATAAAGGAAAGAAAATAATCAGTCAACAGAAAACGACTATTCTTTCAAGCCTCAGCAATTTTAGAAAGAAGGACTTGCACACAAATAACAAAGGAAACGCACATGTGGAAAATAAATCCATTTGGAGCTCTTGGTTGCATTTTCTATTCTTAGTGCCTTGAATGATGCACACTTCCCCTGTTTTACCTCCAGCTGTGTTTGCCATCGTTAAATCAACAGGCTTTTCCTTTGAGAAAATGCACTGACTGTTTCTAGCCTTCAGTTCCCTATATTGGGTCCTTTTTCACACCATTTGGTGTGACAGATTTTAACGGCATTGACCAAACTCTTGGCTCTACAAAACAGATTACACACGTCCATTTTTGCTTACTTTTAGCATCGATGAGTCTCTCTCGTGGGGCTGTATCAGAGGACGACAGCTGCTCTTTGACCTTGGCGATGTCCTTGGGGTGAAGGTAGTCAAACAGGCTCTGACCTATCAGGTCATTCTTGAGAGGAGAGAGAAAGATGAATAAATTTGAATCGTTTAATTTGTGGAATTACAAATTAGGATGGATAGACAGATGTTTGCTGGCTATGAATTGTCCACTTGTTTGTGTAGTAATAGTGATTGAGCAGATTCACAGCATCCTTCTTTTGCTTTGTAAAGGAACTAACGCATGCCTGTCGCAGATCCACAGTAAAGCCTTTTAAGGTGGCTTAAAAATCATCCACCATTAACAAAAAGATCCCTTCATTCCTCAGGCTGTCAGCGTACCTGGCTGTAGTTGAGAATCTTGTACACGGATTCAGAAACAAACAGGATCTTGCCACGATCGCATCCGACCACAAACAGGAAGCCATCAGCAGCCTGCATTATTAAACAGAACGTTAAAAACTGGATTAAAAGTTCATTTCTGGAGGTATTTTCCCCCCTTTGTATAGTTATAAAAAGAACCTTTAATTATTTTTGATTTTTTCCACTCACCCTTAGTATCAAGTGCTTCAGTTCATCATCTGAGAGGAAGGAAGGCTTGTAGTTTGCCTCTGTGTACGGGTTGGCTGCACCTGCACACAACATTAAAACACACGCAGGTCACACCTGTGACTATTCAGACTGCACCTGCACACATAAGAGCATTTTCAGAAAGCTGTATGCTCCCACTTAATCTTATTTGCTTTGAGTACCATGAATTTATCTTCCTTCAAGAATTACACACAGTTCCATATTTGGAAATGTTTACCAAAGGATTACCAATATCAACTGACCAGCTGCTGACCAGCCCCCACTGACCTTCACATTTTTAACAGCGGTCTCCAACACGGCACAGGTAAGTACTTCACTGCATTAACATCATCCATCTTAACTATCCTGACCTGCCCGTTCCCCGATTAGGGATCCATCATCAATTATCTTCTTTATTTGTCACCTGATCAGTAAAAACCTCTCACGTTTCCCATGTTTATGAATATGTTTCGTTGTTTAATCTTCATTTAACTGGGATGGAAACCCTCAGGTCCTCAACAGCGCATATTTCACATGTTAGTACAAAAACTGATGCGAGCAAATGTTTGAATGAGAAGACTTTTCACTTCGTTGCCTCCCCAACCCTCCCAGTTGATTCTAACCTCGGAGCGTCTTCATGTGTTGGACAGCCATCCGGAGGACTGTCAGTTTATCCAGCTTGCGGGACATGGCATTGCAGGTGGGCACCAGTGACGCCAGCTCATCGATGAAGCTGTTCATCTTGTCTCTGCGACGTTTCTCAATCTGGCTATGGGCCTCTCTGTGCAGGAGAAGACATCAGACATCAAAAAAGTGTCAATGAACAAAGTCATTTTCCACCCATCTTGCTGGCAGAAATCCACAGTAAATAGTAATAAATCAGCTTGGCTGAACTTTACCTGCTCTACAAAATACAAACTCCTAGCACCTTATCCAACAGACTCCACTGTCTACGCATTCATAGTCCTGTCTAACATGATATAAATCAGCTAGCAAGACGCAACGAAAACAGCCTCAAGAGACATGAAGAAATCCAGTTTTTGTTGTTCTGCCGATCCTCCACGACTATAAGGTTATATCCTTCCTGCTTGTCTGCTCTCGCTTTGCACAGAAGCAGCTATAAAAGAGAATTCTTTCCATGTAAGAGAAAGACAGCTTGGCTTTAGCAATTAGGTTTGCTTTTACAGTCCCCTTCCACATAATGCTTGGATCTATACACTTCAATGTATAAAGTTTCTTATTATCAGTGTGCACAAAGATCTCTCTGTCCCCATCCACAGAGTGACATTTAATTCATGCAAGGGAGCTTAGCAGGTAAGGGGGAATGGGAGAGAGAGAAAGAAAAGGAGTGTTTATACCTGGCATTCTTAATCCTGCCCTGTTGGTCACTGAAAAGACAAAACAGAGAAAGAATTAGAGAGAGAAATTAGAGAGGACTGAAGGGTTTGATTGTTAAATTAATGCGATAGCACATACTTTAAAAGGGCAGCAAGAGGGCAAATCTGATGACTAATGCAGTACAAACATGACACATCTCTTTATCTCATATTTACAGCTAGGAAAAAAGAGCAACAACAAGGAAAATGTCCACTCCACTCTACAGACACACCCAGACGATGACTTCATAGTACATGCAAATGATTCCTTGACTTTCCAAAAACAATTAGGACGAGTAAAACTCGTCTAAAAAGTCAGGAGACTGACTTTATTTTGAGAGAAAGCATCTCTCCAAACTCGGTGTTGTCTGTGTCTTTTTTGGGTTATTTCTGCTAGTGGAAGATTTGTCTAATCCAGTGTGTGGCGAGCACTTAGTTCAGTAAAACCAAAGGGTTAAAGTAATACATCCAAAGCCCCTTAAGTTGCTATGTAACGTGACTACGTCATTCACTCTCCTTCAGGCAGCACTCCCTACTGCACCCCCAGCTGAACTGCAGACATGTCTGTACAGTAGTGAAATGGTTCTCCTCGATTGGCTTTGGTGTCACAGTGCAGTGTGCAAGAGATTTTCCCCTGGAGAGTAACATGCATTACAGCAGCTGTTATGATACTTTTCCTGTGCAGCTTATTCAACTTTGCTTTAACTTTATGAACATTTCTGCGAAAAATTATTTTAATAGACCCATCACTGCCTTTCTTTCCCTGTTAAGTGAAATTAAATTGCACCGATGACGTCCGATGCAATAAAATGATCGAACATGCAGTCCTAACATGGTGAAAACTCCGACGTGTCAGATTTGGTCATGTAGATCATGGCAAAAGTCCTCGTGCCGGAAAACTTAAACATCTTTACTGGGTGTTTATTACCCGATCGTTCTCTACTGTGCTCTAAAGGACAAACCTTGGAATCTGTGTAATATTCAGAGCAACATGGATTTTTATTCTAGTAAAAGCTGCTGTTGTTAAAAATAACATCTCTCAATACTCTGAGGAGCAAGTGTAAAACCTCCATTCACCTCCTCTGTGTTTATGTGGGCACTGAAACATCCAAATACAGATCTCTGAGATTCACAAATGTGAGTGTGAAAACACGAACGTTATGATTTGGCTCAACGGACCCTTTAAGTTGAAATCAACAGGGAACCCAATCGTGCCAGAAGCAGGTTATTTCAAGAGCAATAAACAGACACATCCAGCAGATTAAAGCTCTATCACCATGGCAGTAATGGCGCCTTACCTGCCCAGTTTATCTTTATCTGGGTCCATGTCACTGAGAAGGAGAAAACAGGAGATATAAGTTTCAGCAAGACCACAGGAACACATTCAAATAACCAGAGCACTTCACAAAGGGTTCACTGGGTTGAGTAGGTTTGCCTTTCAGTCTGTTCAATATTTCATGGTGCAAAAGATTATGTGTGAGGGTTCAGTGGCATTTCAGGCTGATTAATTGAGTTTGCTAGATCTACTAACATCGAGTCATGTTTGAACTTACTCAAATGAGAAGCCATCAATTCTGCAAAGAAACACAAATTTATCAATCAATTTTTTGTCACTGAATGATTCAGATCATTATGTTTTTTTTAAACAACGTGTAAAGTGTTAGCAACATTGGCTAACAGTGTTTAAGGACACAAATGTTATGAATATTGTAGCACACCTGCACTAATGAATGCAAAAGACTTTGTGTCTCCATAATCAGACATGGTTAATAAGACCAGAAACACACTGTCTATCTAGTCATTTCACTTTATCACTTCTTCCCATAATTCTCAGTCTGTATATTTTTCCCCTTTCTCTGTGCACCTTATTGCCAAGAATAAATTCAAGGTCTATTTATGTGATGTTACAGTTACCACTGCTGGTAAGTCAAGCAGTAGTAGCAAATATGTTTATATTACCAATAAAGTGAGCATTTGAGCTTCTCTTTCTTCCTTGTCTACTTACTGGTAGTCGGTGGTGCTGCCTTTCCTTTTGCGGGTGTAGTCCATGCCAGGCGTGCTGATGGAACTGGAGATGAGGTCAGTGGAGCTGGGGGACATGAAGTCGGTCATTGTAGACGAGATGTCCATCCTTTGGTCTGCCATCAGGTCATCTGCACAGCACAATGAGACACTGAGCTTAAAAACAGACATCTCTCTGTGTGCGGATTTAAGGCCTTTATACAGAGTGTCACAAAAAAAATAAAAAAATAAAAAAATAAATAAAAAAAACCCCAAGATTCCATTCTTTTGTTGGTTTGTTTTTGGGGTTTTTTGTAGGTACGAACTGGTCGTGTAAAGCGTATACACACTGAAAGCAGTCTGTTTTTGTGAAAAATGCACTGCAAAAGTTGGTGTTTTTCCTTCATTTATTTGTCACCGCATTTGTGGCTTTACCAGTGCACAAGTGTTTCACCAAATGTAAAAAAAATACTACATACACATTTTTAGTAACCATTTTTATTTCACCAGCTGCTGAAGCTACATAATCTTAAGACAAACTGGCAACCTAGTAAACCACACTGCCAAACCAGAATAACAACAGTTGACGACTTTCTTTGTTGTGACTCTTTCTGGGTGACTCTGCAGTGGTTATCAAGCCGCCTGCCTGCACAGGGCTCCAGATGAGGAGGAGTGACTGCTGTGCCACTGCTGACTGAGATCACAACACTCTGCGTGGTTGGAATAATTACATTTGCCCCAAACGAGTTGGTGGCTGTGTGAGTCTATAACTCATATTCATAGCAAAAAGTAAAACAAAAGCTCCCACGCCTGTATGAGACATCATTGCGGCTATATAAAGCTCTTGCAGTTTGACCAAGTAAATGTTATTTTATTCACTTATTTATTTTTTTAAATTGAAGGACAAATGCACATATTTAAAGGGGACCTATATATTGTTTTATTGGTGTAAAGATTCTTAAACCACAGTCTGTTGTTGTAGACAGCAAACCAGATGGATGATGCCTCTGGCACACATTTCAAAAATCCAAAAGGACTATCCAGCAGTTTCAAATACAGCACAATAAACCAGCAACTGTCATGATTGCCAGATTAGTTCAACAGCTAAACAAACGTATCAGCTGCTGTTTTGACAATGTAGCACAATTACATGAATAACCGAGCTGACGCTAATCTGACACGTAAATGTATTAACCAGGGGGCGTTAAACAAGCTGCTCAGAGGACAGAACCGGCCAGCAAAAACATCCACTATGGTTTCCTGGATGGCACTGCAAAGTGTGAAAATTTCACCTCATTAATATCCAGAATTGTTCATTAAATGTAAATCATGGCGAGGTAACGTCAGCGTAACAGCACTGACAAACGCTGAGAAATTGCTTCAATCGTAGGAGGAAAAAAAATGTTTATTCATAGACGAAGGCAGGTAATTATGAAACAGGTTTGCTGCCTTAAAGATGTTTTCTGTGGTTCGTGAACTAAATTTTTAAACATTTTTAAGACAGGTCTACTTTACTAATAGAAAATGAATGGATCCTACGGTTCATACACAAACACATTCTTGCTAAATGACAGCTGCAACATAAGGACGAATATTTCCCCAGAAATATAAAAATCCATTTGCAAATCTAAAAAGGCTCTTGTGCCAGATTTCAACAGACCCGTGTGCAACCTTGTTATTCAGTCTTTTGGTGATTAAACCCTCTCTTTTAAGAAATAGCTGCAATGCAGGTGTCTGTGTGTATTAGAAGCTAAAATAAAAGAAACAATCCACTGTTTCTTTGCAGAAGCAAATAAGCAACACAGAGCAGACAGTCACACAAATGTCGCATGCATATGCATGCATAGACCGAAACTACTGGGTCTAAGTATGTAAATGAACTGACAAATAATAAGCGCGACATGTGCGGGATTACTCATATTATCCGTGCTGACAAGAAATCACTATAAAAGGTCTGAGGTCAAGATCAAAGCGGAAATACTGTAGTTGTGAGAAACGGAGGTGACTATCTGCACAGACCTTTTTTTCAATAAAGCGTGCACACTTAATTGAGAGATGCACAGAGGGAAATACTAATTTATATTTTAGGAAGGGCCAAACTCACCACAGATGTTCATCACAGCCTGTGTGTTAAAATCATCTCCTTCCATCCACTCTGGAGCCCTCAACTGTGAACACACAAAAGCAACACTTTAAGATGGAATCATTCTGAGAATCTGCAAAGACAAAAACAAAGAAATCCCAAAACAAAGAAAATACAGACAGAGTAACTGTTGCCTGGACACATGCAGCAAACATCGTGTCATCTGGGTCAAGTGTGCAGGCGCAATAAACAGGAAGCCACCATTACAACAACATGTATTGAAATACTGTAAGCTATTTAGGTCGCACCGTATCAGACACATAAATCAGACTGGTTGAGATGTGCCATGTGCATTCCAATTCGCCAACTACAACCCTGGCAAGTGTTTAAACTTCAGAGATGATGAAACCTTCCCAAGTGACTCTGAGCTGACTGAAGAAGGCCTGTCGTTAACAAGAGTTCTTGCTTAATTATGCAGTCATTTTCTGTAAAGGTTTCGATTAGAGTTTTCGAGCACATGCATGCGCAAACAGGTGGCTTGACTCATGAAGAGCCACACTAATGTTTCAGAGGAATGGGTGAACCCCCCCCAAAAAAAACAATATAAGCAAATGTATTTACTGTAAAGCCTCTAAACCAGGGGTGTCAAACTTAATTGCACAGGGGGCCAAAACTCAAGGCACACTTTAGGTCGCGGGCCAAACAAGATAAACATTTATTGAACATGTTTATGTTTTTTTAAACATAAATATGAATAAAAACAGACAGGAATATTATTCCAGATTAAATAAACTTAAAAAAATAAACTTTAACTTTAAATATTTTGCTCTTCATAAAAATATATCCTGTCAAAATTATGCAAGTTAGAAATATGAACATGCTGCCAAAAACCCCAGAAAAAAATAAATGAAAGCATACACAAGGTTGGAGCCGCATGTAGACGGAGCTGGGCGTTGCTTCAGGAATGGCACTAATAAACTGTGCGGGCCATTCAGTGTCGTACTTTCCCTTGAGTGTATCATTACACTGCAGCTCCATCTGAATCTGCACAGGTGCAGTTCAGCAAAGTCCGCTGACTTGGTTCAACATTACTTGGCAACAGGGAAAGTGAGGTTGCACTGGTGCATTTGTGACAGCTTCACTTGAAATGCCTTCACCGCATCATACATGTCATGTCCATGAACTGACAGATTTCCTTGCTGAGCTCAAAAACTCTATTGAGAATTTTTATCCCAACTCAGCCAACGGACCTCTGTATGATGGCATGTCGGCAAACTCTGAATCTATTTCCCACATAAAAGACTGACATTGACGGTGATTTAAACTTTTAGCTCAGATAAAATTTACGGTTTACGTTACGGTGATTATTACATGCTCCATTTTTAGGACTTTACCAAACAGCCTTTCCTGGTGTGTGATGCAGTGCTATGCTGTTAACTCACCGGTACAGTTCTTCTGCATCTTTACTCACATCCTGCGGACTAGTTGCTTTTTTCACCGCACAACACCGGCGCTCCATCTAACAAGTTTGTCCCATAGTAGTTTCATGTCGGTTACACTTTTACATAAGTTTTAAAAAATGTCCTTTTCCTGTTGTTGTCCCGTGCATCGATTTAATTTTAATGTTCAATATTTCCTCTCCACGGATGAAGATGGCCAGCTGTGCAATGTCCATCATGTCTGTACTTTCATTCACAGCAAGAGAGTATGCAATAAAGTTTTTGGTTCTTGCACACAACTGTGTTCTTAAATCAGTGGCCATCTCACCAACCCAATCAGCAATCATATTTCTGCTCAGGCTCACATTTGCCAAAATCTGCGTTTTGTCTGGACACAAGACGTCGCACAGCTTCATCATGCAGCTCTTCAGAGTGGTACCGGGCTGATTTGGCTCCTCTGCTACAATAAAACTTGCTTTCACAACAGCTTCACTTTGTGATTTTGCTCTGGTGAAAAACATCTGCTGAAATGTCAGATTCTTCTTTAGCTCTTCTACTTTCTGTAGTTTCTGCTCTGCGTTTAGGTTTTTCAGCTATCCTGACGTTTTGTCTCGTAGTGCCGTCTTAAATTAAATTCCTTAATTACAGCCACATTAGCTCCACTAATAAGACACACGGGTTTACCAGCATGTCTGTAAACATATATTCAGTCTCCCACTAGCGCTGAAAGGCTCTGCTTTCAGAATCAACTTTTCTCTCCACCATTGTGAGCGGCTAGCTTCGCAATAACAGAAGTTTGACTTGTTTGAGGTGGGAATTCCCAGTTAGCCTAGCGTTCAGCAAGGAGGCTGCAGCGCTGCATTATGGAATCTGTAGTTTGTATATCATTAGCACCTCATATTGCCGGGCCATGCATAACAATAATAGTACATCTATATAAAATATTCTCGCAGGACACGTGCTCTAAACGAACAAACCTTTGCTATTGAATGACTTTGCCAAGTAAATGCACTATTCATACAGCTCCAGGTCAAAACAATATTTGCCTCGAAGCGCTTTATACTGTAATCTAAAGACTAGAGAAAAGCAAAGAGAAACCCAAAGATCAGATCATCCCGTACGGTTAAAGAACGCCTGTCAAAGAACTCCTTTGACAGGAAGAGACCTCCAGCACAACCAGGCTCAGGGAGTGGAGAGGTCAGGTGAAATAGAGGACAGAAAAGAGAAGTAAAGAGGAATCTCTATCTCTCACTGCAACTCAACACCACAAAAAAAAAGGAAGTAGGCATCACCTCGTCATTCAGGAGTTCAGGATACGAAACAAGAACAAAACAAAGACAAAAAAACTAGATATTCGATGCCATTATCTATTCACTCAACCGCAAGCAGGTGTGTGCACTAAACCACTTGTTCAAGGCCAAGCATACCATTTAAATTATTTGCAATGGGAGTGCTGTGTTTTTATAAGATGCTAAAAATGTCAGCAGCATGTGGAGGCGGTGAGCCTTTTTTCTGGGGTGAATGCTGATAAAGTTAAACAGCAGTCAGCCAGAATCAGATGCATGCAACATGTCACAGCTCTGAAAACATGACTCCTTTAAAACCAGATTTAGTCCTTAAATTGTGTAAGCAAATATAACAGAGGTGTATTAATACATAAGTTCACTGATAACTTAAATTGAACCAAACACTACAAATATTACATGGAAATAAAAATACATAAATATCACATTTTTAATGTCACACTTATTCCAAAGCAAATGCTGGCCTAGTTTTCAAATATGTTAATTATTTCTCGCACTGTGAAGGAGGACTCCTTGGTTCAAATTCACATCTCTGAAATATGAGTAGGCACCTCCTACAGATGGCGTGCAGAGCGGCTTCAGTTACCTGGACAGGAAACTGGAACAGGCTTCCTGGACGGGCCTGGTATCGTCTGAATCAATCTGGCCTGCTCGGTTGTGATCTGGTCTGAGTCTGGTTTGATTCAGCCTGACCTAGTTTCATCCACTTTGAAGTGGTCTCCCCTCATATGATCAGATCCTTAAGCAGCTGGGGCCCGTCTACATCTGCAGGGGGATGAA